CCCCCCCCCCGAGTCTCTCGCACTGGTGTGCTGCTACTCTCGGGGCGCACCCCTCCCGCGGCAGCATGCAACCCGACCTGCAGGTGAACAATTCAGCCGTTTCCCCCGCGTCCTTCCACACCCTCCGGGCGGATCGTTTGCGGATAGAGCGAAGTTGCCTGTATAGGTTTAAGGATTCACATACGTTCAGCGCGTGCGGATGTTTGAAGTCGGACGAGCGGATGATTTGGATGGCCAGCGTTGCGGGCGCAAAAGGTGAGCTGTCGGTCGTGCTTTGTTTTGTCGCCACAGAAGTCATCCATTCCTGGTTGTTGTCGTCCCTTCTGAGCCAGATTATGTGTGGGAATACTCAGAGCAGGAAAGGACAGAGTGGGCTGCCAGTAATATAAAATAGTTAATTTGTCATCCACAACCACTTTCCTACATTTCTCTCTTTTGTGGTCTATGACTTTTAGTTATTCAGTTGTTTTTAATTTGCCAATTATTTTCTTGATTAATCGATTGTTTGGGCTACAAAAAATGCCCATGGAGATTGTTCCAGAGCCCAAACGTGACCTCTTCAAAAGTCCTCACATTAAAGATGCTGCAACCGCAGAGTGATTGGCATCATGATTGGTATAATTAAAAATTTAAATGATCAATCAATTATTAAAAAAGTTACGGAATAATGTTCTGTTGATTTATTAACTGGCTAAATTGCAGCTCTAAACTTTTTTTGCTTATGATTAATCTGTAGATTAAGCACTTTTAAAGTGATTATTGAGAACAGTTTGACAGGCGAAACAGTTGCGTATTTTGAAATAAATAATAGAGTTGTGTAATTTAATTAGGCTATACTATAAATATTGCAGTCTGAATTGTTGTATCTCGGTGTAATATCACATTGAATACTGCAATCAACTGTAATGCTATAACTTCAACTAGAGAGACAAACACGGCTGATAGATGGATTGAAAATATTATCGTGAGCTAAAGCAAGAACTAATCATCTTGTATTATATTGGTGGGAAGTATGGGCGAGGTGTATGGATTATAACATGTATGGATTAAGTGAAACTTTTTCCAGCAGTTACTAACAGTTATTGTGTGCAGATGATTGTATTTAATGTGGTTTACAGTTTATTTTTAGAGCATGTAACATCTATATCATATGTCATATAGTCTTACCATGTGTTCTTACTGTTTATCTTGCTGTCTGTTTTTGCTCATGATAATCCCTTTCACTCCGTGTGACTGTAAAGCTCATCTGGATTTGGGTTTGAGTGGGTTTTAGTGCCAGCAGGGCGAGTAGATTATTTCTAAATTGAGATAATAAGGAGAATCATTTCCATTTTCCCTCTTCCTTGTGTCCTCCCTCTCTCTGTGTCTGTCCTCAGTTCACTATCAGACGCTTGTAAATCAGACATGTGTACACCCAGTGAGACAGTAACCTGAGACCCCATCCTGAAGGAACACCAGGATGCGTCCCATTTCCTCGCAGCCTTTAGGCAAGACCACTGTCGGAGGCAGCCGATGGAACCCTGCTGCTGCAGCCTTGCTGCTCTCCCTGTGTCTTGGCTTCCCTCCTTCTTTGGCCACTTGCCCACCCTGCTGCCTTTGTGCCAGTGATATCATTTCCTGCAGTGGGTGCAATCTGTCCATGCTGCCCTCTGATCTCCCAGGCTATGCCACACGGTTGGACCTGAGCCACAATACCCTCACTGTCCTGCCCGTGGACTGGATTTCCCGGCCGTTTGACCGGCTTGCTACGTTGGTTCTCAGCCGCAACTCCATCAGCCGGATCGAGGTGGACGCCTTCACTGTGACACCGCACCTCCTCCACCTGGACCTCTCTTCCAACCGACTAACGGCACTGAACTTGTCCGTCTTCGCCGGGTTGGAGGAACTGAAAGAGCTACTGCTGTTTGGCAACCAGATCGTCCAGATTAACCCAGGGGCCTTCAGTGATCTCTACAGCCTGCAGAGGCTCTACTTCTCCGGGAACAGACTGACGGCTTTCCCCCTGGGGCTTTATTGGGAACCTGGAGGGCCTCGTAATCTAACCTTTCTCGATCTGTCATACAACAGGCTCTCCGAAGTGCCCGTCCAGAGCCTGCTGTCACTCACCCGGCATTGTGCAATTTATTTGCAGAAAAACCCTTTGGTCTGTGACTGCGCTTTACTCGCCTTGCTGGAGTACTGGATGTGGAAACAGTATCGCCCACTGGTGGATTTCAGAGGTGAATACCCATGTAGAGACGGTTCAGGACCGGAATATGAATGTAGCCAGGATGTAGTGTCAGATATGTCCCTTGAGGCACAGACTTACCAAGTGGAGCCTGGTAAATGGCTAAGAGTGCCATGTCCAGGGTTGGCCACTCAAGGCCAGGAGGCGCTGGCATTGTTCTGGGTTACCCCAAGGACTGTGGTGAATTCATCAACCGATGATCCGATGGCCCACCTAATACTTTTCCCCAATGGCACCCTTGAAATCCGGGGAGCCCTGATGGAGGATTCTGGCATGTATTGGTGCGTGGCAGCCCGCGGGCGCCACTACGACCCCAACGAGTCTCTGGAGGTCAATGTGGTGGTCGGAAACCTAAGCACATCCTCCACTGGTGGCTTGGCACGCGGCAGCGGTGCCGAGCATTTCAACACAGCATTCACCACCCTGGCCTCCTGTGTGGTCAGCATCATTCTGGTGCTGCTGTATCTCTACCTCACCCCCTGCCGATGCCGGGAAAACCGGGGTGGAAGATCGAGAGGGTGCGGCAGGCGAGCCTTCATCCTCTGCTCAGACCCCAGAGAGGTAGAGTCAGGACAGCGGCGGTCAAACGGAAAGAGGGTGGCTTTCTTAGAGCCTCAGGTAGAGGACTCTGATATTGGTGGTCCAAAAACACCAGCAATGAATTTGGGTCACGTTACCACCGAGGGAATTCTCAAAAATGGAAGTAGGACAGTGGGACAGACCCTCACGGACACAGCTCACATCGCAGAAGCAAGAAAATAACCTTTTGCACATTCCTGTATTCTTACAGTGTTTTGTTTTCACTGTCTTGTTTCAGGACACGATGAGAAAATCCATTTGATGTGAAGTAGTGCACTGTGATTCTCGTGGAGTAGTTATGCACTGTAGGGGTTTGGGTGTTTGGTCTGAAGCAGAAAATGCAGTCCTTTCGTAGGCAGAATTACAATTATGTCTCTATTGTAAGTGGTTTCTGTTTTTTTTACATTAAGAGCTGATACAATCTGACTGTTGCCGCGGGGAATTGTGATTGCAAAGTTCATATAAAGGTTGGTGGTGTTTTTAATTGGGCAGAGTGACATATTCCCTCCTGATTTGATAAACTGCTAGAGGCATTATACGGTATATGCCTTGTGAATACTGCAATCACAGTGACCCCGTGTTATTTTTAACCACCTGTCTCGTACTACGGATGATTTTAAAACATGTCGGTAATATGTGTGAAATTACCTGAACTTTGATTATATGAATCAAATATGACCCTGTGGAGGTTCCTTTATCAAAAGCAAAGAAACACTACAAAGTGAGACAGTGTACTGTAGACTATTGTGTTGCTACAAAATGTTAACTTTGTGTTTAGTCGGACAAAAAAATGCATTTGATGAATTTAAATGTGCTGGAATATGTGGTTTCTCCTAAAGGGGTCATTCACTCAAATTGCAAATATAATCTATTTCCCCTTTACCATAAAGTATCTGCAGATTTCTGTCTCCACCCCATTACAATGGAGGGGAATGGAATTTTGTTGGTGTTCTTCATAGTACTGAATATTACATTTAAAGCTTTTTATGATGGGTCAAATTACTTTGTATAGGAAAGGAACAGTTATTGAACATTACAGGCAACTGTTTGCTAAAACGTTCAGCATTTGAACTTTATCAGGTGATTCTCAATCCCGATCCGTCAAATACTGACACTTGGCTGTCGGCCATATGCTTCAAACTCGGACCCCTATAGTTTCAGTTTGAAACGTGTCAGTCGGTCTCTTTTCAAAATAAAACTTCCAACATAGGTTTACTTAGTTTTTAGGTTTACTTATGCAACAAAAGTAATTCGTTAGGTTCAGGAAAATAATGTATATTTTGGGTTTAAATAAATGAGCCTACATTTGTTAAAAGAAGTAAAAGAAGTTGGTTTGTTACGTAACATGGCGTCAATAGTGTACAAAAGTTACGAAGCAATATTACGCTAAAATAGGTCAACGTTGACTGGGTTTGACATTGGACCCGAGCAGCAATCTCCTGAGTTAAAGTCCCATGTTTGTTTGACCCATCAAACCTACGCTCCATCTGATAATAATGACACAGATGGGATTGCATCAGAGTTAGTTGAATACAGACACTATAGGTGCCTTGGTGCGTAGGTTTCAGACACCGAGGGCCACTGACCTAGCGTGGGTATATGACGAGTCTGACATTAGACCGGTTTGGCTCAGCACATATTCCACAGAGCTCACTGTGAGCAGTTTTCTTTGAACAGTGTGTGTTGTGGATTATCTGGGTAACAGGGGCACATGTTGCTGTTCAATTTTTGACTTGCCATTTTTTGGTGGTCTGATAGAAAATCCATTTCCCGTATTTGAATCGGGTTAGAGGCAAATAAAAATGATCCTGATAATGAGCCTGAAATGATATCGTGAAAAAAATTATTTTAATTCCAAAATTCAAAGGTGTGAGGTATTCCCGTGGCAGCAGCTACTGTTTAACTGCCGTAATTTCAGCACCATATTAAAAAAGTAGCACCTTTTGACTATTCAGTCCACAGTTCTCCAAAGGTTTGGCCGAGTTGTGGTCTAGACCAGCCAACCTGGAGCTGGTTTCAATTGACACTTGAGCAGGCTGGACACTTGTTCATCCTTTCAGACATGGACTTCCTTTCTCACCCTCCACCTTGTCACACCACGGCTTCACAAAACAGCAGATTCACAGAGGAATGGATCCTTATTGGTTCAGACAGGAGGGGAGTTTGGGCTCTGCGATGAGGCCCGAGTCAGCCCAGATTAGTGTCAAAGAAATCTGATGGAGGGTTGCCAGCTCGCTCCAAGCCCTCCATGACCCACATTCCTCTGTCCACCCTCTGATTGTTTTGCATGTGTGTGGAATCATTTCCAAGGTGTTGAGAGTCTCTGTAAAGTCTCCATGGCCTTGTCCACGCTAGCACTGTCTGAATAGTAACGTCTTCTATGTTTTCTGTTTTATTAAAGGTTGAATTTTAAGTAGAGCAGTTAAGGTAAAGCTTTGTCATGACTACAATGGCGATGATATTTGCAGGTATGAAATAAAATGTTTAAATTTGGGGGATGAGTGTGTTCTTTTCTCCCTACAAGTGAATGTAACGGCAAAACTCATATCTGACATGTGTGGTATTGAGTTTCATCATGTTTGGCTTCTCTCTGGGGATCTGGGCCAATCTTTTTTTTTGTAATATTCCGAGATAAAATGAAAATGAGGCGGTTTCTGTGAAAAATGAAAAGTAGTGTTACATCAGAAGGATTTAAGGGTGACAAATAACCTCTTAGTGAGTCAACAAATCACATTTTCTAAAATCCTCTTACAAGCCTTTTCTAGTAAAGGAAAAGAAGTAGAAGCAAAAGACATTTTAAAACGCTCTTTTTCTTGTGCACTTGTTGGTCATTACTCGTCAGAGTGGAAGGATATTTGATGTGAACGTACACTCATTTCAGAGTGTTGTAATGGCAGCGAGGACACGAGTCGTCATGCTTTCAGAGGCCGTGGCCAATGGCAGGTGTTGAACAGAAATTTCAGGTGGTGATGGACGCCACTGGGACTAATTTAAGTGTCCCTCGCCTGCCTCCTGACAAGGTTCTTTTCACAGGTCAAGCCGGTGACATTTGGAGTGTTGCAGGTGTTGTTAGTCTAGGCGACAGAACTAGCTACAGATTTCCCCCTTCCACTTGGTCACTTCCCTGAATAATATTATTTTAACTGGAACAATTTATAATAATCCATCGATATTACGTAAATAAACCTGAGGATGTCATTAATTATTTCATGGCGAGCTAAAATACTAAACGTTTATGACTGAAAACTTGCATTACGAACTGGCCACACTGGAAGGCGGAGTGAAAAGCTGACAGTCAAAGAAAGGGCGGAAGAATAACGGGGCACTTTTTCCAAACAGCCTCTACTGTAAGACATTTATAAAGCTTGCACTCGATTGTTGTTGTGAAAAGTGACAGTAATAGCGTGAAGAATGGAAAAAAAAGAGAGAGAAGTTCAAACCCTGCTTACTTTCTCACCTCTACCTACCATCATTGCATGACGTGGGTGTTAATGTCGGATTGTCAGTTTCAAAAAGTTACAGAAATCGTTGGAAGTAGCCTCCCCCAGTTCAGGCGTCAGGAAGTTGTGGGGGCAGGAGGTTCAAAGCTACTTGATCATCCAACAAGCACTTCTCAGGGAGTATGTTGGAACAAAAGATGCTATCGAGTTGGATTATGGGAATTGAGGATGCAGTGTTTGAGCTTGACCCATACTACTCTTAATTACTGCTGTTTTTGATTAAACTGTTCTTTTTTTAAATCTGTCTTTTTCCAACTTAATGAAAATACATTATGAAACTGCTGGAGTACCCCTTTAATATTTTATTGGTTAATTTAAAAGTATGTTTAGGCCCTCACTACATCAGAGACCCTCTTGCCCCTGCATGAATCGTTGTAAACGATAACATCTTTGGATAAAGGTCCAGAAGACGTGGCTAAAGGCTTCATATCAAATCAAAAATGAAAAGACACGATTGAGTTGTATAATGGAAATTGTAGGATCCAGTGTTTTGAAGCCTGATCCATACTAGGGACGAAGAGTCAGGGTATGTGACTGACTTTGACCAAAGAAGAAAATCATTTCTTTTTATCACTCCTAAGAGTCCCTCAACTTTATGGTAGTGCAATATTAAATTTCTTGAAGTATCTATATATACAGTATATGCATGCATACATATATATATATATATACTGTATATACTTACTTAACATTTTAGATAAAGTTGTACAAATGTTGGGGATATGAAGCATTTGAAGATACTTCAAGAAATGACATCACAATGAACAACAATACCAATGAAGGCACTGACGGACCGTTCCGATTCCAGAGTTCAAAGGGTTAAGGAGGAACTTCACTCCAAATGTTTTTCCCCACATATATCACATCATCATTGTTGTAGTTTTAGAAGCAGCACTGCAGTGGTAGTAGTGGTTGTAGCACAACCACTTGTGTACACTTGTGTACATGGGTGTAATAATAGCAGTTTATTAAAATTCTTACAACTCTTATATATATATATATATATATATATATATATATATTAGTTATAATAGTTACAAAATTCTCCTGAAACCTGCAAAAAAAATGAATACACAAATAAAGTGCTACACCACAGAGGCGTTTAATCTCTTCTGTGCCCAATAGGAATGGAGTCATTTCCTCACCATCCATAATTCAAATGCTGGAGGAGAGTATTGGATGTGTGGGCTGTAGCTGAAATAGGAACATTAATATGAACACGTTGCAGACAATGGGGCCATTTAGAAAATTGTTCAATTAACATGATTTTATCAAAGCTGACCTCTCAGCTGGTATGGTCCATCCGCCGTGTTCTAACAGTTGGATCCAAAGTAAAGAAAAATATAAAGAAATATTATTGACTCTATAGAAAATGTAATAGATAAATAATTGAAACCAGCAGATTTATGAGAGGTAGAATGTATGGCGTACTTGCAGCTTCTTATGGGCGTCATGCTCTACAGAGCATGTGCCTTATATTACAGAGGAAACGGGGATAACACGGACAGAAATCCCATTACCTGCAAGATGAAATATATCTAGCGCACCTCATATGAGTTTTATAATAACCGTGAGAAGCTTCTGCTCGATGGTGTATGGGCAGCGTCGATAAGGTGGAAACGTGTTGAGGATTAGAGTGGGAGAGTTTATTACTTCCAGCAGGGTTTTGTTGTGCATTTCTTTTTGATACCTCACTTTTTCTCATAAATTAAAAGACATCCAGCAATTTCAGTGTTTGTCATATTCCACCATATTCCTTCAAAATATTGGTTTTGCATGTTGCATTGAACATTTTTATCAACTTCCTTTAGTTGTTCAGAAATTAAAGATGTTGTCTCAATAGCCCCACAAAAAGGAAGCGTGTAAATGACAGATCAGCTTTTCATCTTTATTAGTTATTTATATCAGGTACATGCAATATTTACTGTGAGCCACACTCCAGTTAGCGTCATTAGCATTGTCGCTCGGCTGAGTTAATTTACACAGCAAGACCGATTTACACTTGAAGCAGCCATGAGAAATGGAGTCAACCCGGTTCATTGAAGCATTGGGGAGGTGTTTCGGCAGTAGAATGAACAAAACACATAAATAATAAAGAATAAACTAATTATTGCGTAGAAATGATTAGTTTATGCAAAAATATGATGACAGAATGCTCCCATGAAATCCAAATTGATGTTTAAGTTGTTTCATCCCATATGTATTGAGCTGGTCGTCACCTATATGTCAGTATTTGGCCCAACAATGACAAAAAAAATCGATAACTACGGTCATCTTAATGCTGTTTTTAGAATTAGTCATTTCCTGGCAAACGACACAAAGTGTTGATGACTCATCCTTCATTTGGGGTTGTATACCAATTGAAGGGTTTTAATACAGACATCTAGAAGAAGCCTATTCGGATGCACTCATCTCTACATGTCTCTCCAAAAACGACTTCTTCATGGTTTTCTTCTTCCTCCATTTAACCACTGTCCAATTCGTCTGTAAAATCTGCGATCCTAGGCAATGGTGAGGAGTCCTCGACAAGAAATGGCAAATGGACTTGTACTTGTATAACGCCTTAGTCTTCCAACAACTCAAACACTACATGCCATTCATCCACTGATGGCTGGGGCTACCATGCAAGGTGCCACCTGCCCATCAGGATTATCTAAGCATTCACGGCCATTCATACACCGATGGCACAGCCTTTGGGAGCAATTTAGGGTGTCTTACCCAAGGACACAGCTACATGGACTAGAGGAG